ATTTTACAAAATATAAATAAAATAATTTATCTATTATAGTAAAATTTTGAACTATTGTTATATTTAAAAAATATATACTTGTATATATCACAAAAATTTTCTGGATCAGTTCAAAATTTTCTGGGGCAACACGAGATTGCTAAATTTGCTAAATTTATTGGTTAATTTTTTTTTTTTTTTTAGTTAAAGTCCCTATCTTGAGAGTTACTATGTTTTTATTCAAGTATATTAAGACACAGCATGCCACCAAGGGCTCACCTTACATTGAAGGTTACAACTAGCCACACATGCATTTTTGATGCCTAATTTAAGTAGTCTGCTTACACATTACTATATAAGTTTTATACTAGTTGCCATATCTGCAAGCCAACTAGGGGTCTTGCCTATTTAAACCCTCTGCATATGCAATCCTTCTTGTATTACGGGAACATCTCAAGACACCGGCCATCTAAGTTCCCGATGCTTATCGGTCTCCTTAGAACTACTTTATCCTCGATAGGAAACTTACTAGAGCCTTTATGTCCCACACATCTAGACCTAGTTTTATGCAACATGCTATAGTTATCTAACATTTGCAGTCATAGGAGTTATCTGTTTAACTGCTAAAATATATTTTGTTAAAAAAATATATTAAAATTTATAAATATAATAAATAACTTATCACAGATAACTAAAAATAAGATTGATTTAAAGTGAGCTAATTTAAACCATATTATATATATGTTATAATATAGCAAGTTTTTTTTGTAATTAGATAATTAACTAGATTTTAATAGAATTTTTACTATATTATAAAATGATATACAAAAATTAACTAATTAAAATATAAGTTTGCTATGCTACATGTTATAAAATTTATGTCTTTTGGAAATTTAATTTTTATTTTTTTATAAAGTTTTAAATAAATATGTTAAAAGTAATTTTACAGATTTTTTAATTTCTTAAATTTGTTATTTTAATAATAAATTAATTTTACAAACTTATGTTAATCATTTTATTATCAAAATTTTACTTAATATTTATATGTCTGTACATATTTATACAATTGTATAATACTATTTTACTAACTATTTTAGAAAGAATTAGTAAAAATTTTGTATATAGTACTTACAGTTAGGAATAAGCTACTGTGTAGTATTATGCAACCTGGCTAGAATTATACTAGCTAGTTACAATTCTAACCAACCTGAATTCTAAAAATTACATTGTACAGTTTTTAAAAATTTTGCCATATACAGTTCATAATGTACTGTTATATAACACATCATTATATATGCCCAATAGTGCAATAACTTATATATTTACTAGATGCAATATCAATACTTTTTATATTTTCTGTTTTTGGTTTTGTATATCAATGTTGTGCAACTATCTTATTAATTATTTATAGCTTTAATAGTCATTACTGAATCAATAACCTCATCTAATAGATAAAGGAGTTTGAAACTAAGAAAAGCAATAGTTATTAGAATAAGTGCTAGTAAAACAGTCCAAATAAGAGTTAAAACTATTCTATAGTTAAGGTATTTATGAACAATCTGGTTATAGTTCCAATTGAAGTTGCAGATCATAAATATAAGTATCCAGATTATTCTATTTTTGTTTGAAGTTCCCGTTTAATTTCTTGATTATAAGCAACCAGTTATCTATATAAAATTTTATATATAATTATATTAAATGAATAATATCTAATAACAATGTGTATTTTTCTTCTGCTATAATTTTTGTGTCATGCATAGTAGAACTTTATAAACTCCAATAAAATTTACTATATTTGATCTAACAAGAAATAATTATAAGTAATAATAATATTAACAAATTACTTACATATATATTAAAGTTTTAATAATGAAATACTAAAAAAATCTTAACAATATAACAATAAATTTATTTAAATATTTAAGTAAGTTTATTTATATAAATAATATTAATACATGGATAAGCATTAATTAAAAAAAGTAAAATTTCAGGGTTTGATTTTCAAGGCTAAATTGATTTATTAGTTTAAAAGCCTGAATTCTAGTTTTCTTTTAATAATACTCAAAGACTATTGTTTTGTTTATCACTTTTGCATATTTGTATATAAGCTAAATGCTGTGCTTAATAGCTATACACAAAATATTTTGAGTCACCAATGTGGTTCAGTCTTTTCAGAGCTTAAAAGAGTTGAACCTTGCAGTGCTTGACCTTCTTTAAGAATTTTAGATGTTTTACTGAAGTTTTGTCATTTTGCCAGAGTTTTACCAGAGTTTTACCAGAGTTTTGCCAATGTTTTGCCAGAGTTTTGTCAGAGTTTTGCCAGAGTTTTGCCAGAGTTTTGCCGTTTTGCCAGAGTTTTGCCGTTTTGCCAAGTTTTAAATTTTGCCCAGTTTAGTTTTGACTTTTGCCATCTACTAAAAATAGTTTTGCCTAACAACAGTAAACTAAATACGATCAAATTATTTTTTATATATTCATAATAATAAGCTTTTCAAATTACTAAATACAGTAGCTTTTTTATCATGATTTAGGTCAGCTCTAGGGGGCGTAGTCGCAGTGATCGAAGTCAGTGGCTTAACCTGTCACAGATTACGGACGTGCTACCAGAATTAAACAGACTTGCCTAAATTGCTGTACCCTTCTCTGTGTAGAATGTTTACTTTTTATTACAGGAAAATTTCAATATTTTAGTGAGACAAGCTTTGTATTATATATTTAAATTATACTTACTAATGCTATAAATAAAACATTCTATCGCTATACCGTATTATCCCGAATTAACGCCCCGTGGTGTAGGTTAAAATTTTGGCCAGAATTAAGCTTAATTTGGCCTAAATTAAGCTTAATTCGGGCTAAAATTTTAACCTACACCCCGGGGCGTTATTTCGAGATAATACGGTATAATTATTACTATTAAATACCCAGATAAATACAGGAAATATCCTTATAGAGGGTATTTTAGACCGTGAAATACGATATGATAATAATAACCATAATTTAAGTATTTATAATTTAATATTATACTTATAGTTTAACATATTTTGTATAATCAAAAATGACACATGATAAAATTACTAATTAAAATAAATAATTATAAAAATCTTCAAGACCTGATTGATATATTTAGTTTAAATATATCAACAACAAGCTTCAAAATTTGACCATATTTTGAATTACCTTCATAAGGTAAATTATCAAACCAAGAATTCGGAATATATGATGACGGTAAATCTGTAAAAGGTGGTATTCCTGGGGCATTATATGCTGTCAATATATTAATAGTATCACTAAGTGAGTATGATTGAGGTACATTATACGGTTCATTCTTGACTGTTGATATTATTTGTAACGCAGCTGTTACAGATGAATTAAGTACATTTTTGCAAATGTAATAATTGTACTGTCGGTTTTTGAACAAATTCATCATATTTGCACGAGTGTCATTAAATTGAGTCCAGATTTTTACATTATTTACATTATAGAACCATAAATATAATAATTGGTGCCGCCGATTTGAAGTCCCCAAGCAGTATGACCAAAAGCTCTATTAGTACCAAACTGAACTGCATTTCGGTAATTAAATACACAAGCGTCACCGGGTCCAAGTGCATATACAGTTGAAATGGTTAATAATACAGTATTAGGAAAAACACAAAATATTTAAATCCATTAAGACAAATTAATAAAATCTTTCATTATATGGGGTTTTTGCTTTGACAATGACCTTATGAGACATGGCAAAGACTTTATATAAATACATTTTTAGCCATTTTTATAAGAAAGAATATCGTTATCTGTGAATTTAGTGCTTATTTATTTAATTTAATTTATACATAAATAGCCAATTTATTTAATTGAAGCCAAGAAATTACGTAATGTTTTATTGTTTATCTCTAACATGGTTTTATCGAAAGTATTATATGAATTTTATTCACTTATTGTGTACATATTGAAAGGATCATAAAAATATGAACGGATGAACAGTTTGAATCAAAGATTGGAATCAATTTAGTTGATTATGTTAGTCAACTAAACTGATTTCAATCCTTAGTTCGAATGGATTGAATAGATCTGCGTGTTTTAAGTTGACAATACTATATTGCATATTTTTTGAACGGATTATACAATATATAATCCGAATAATATGGATTACACAATATATAATTTATATAATATGACATCACAAAATCTGGTGTCACGCTATGGATTGGGAGAGCAATGTTTATACGTGACAAGTTAACTTTGAGCAGTAGCCTAAGTTTAATGATAGTTGGTCATAAAGGAAAATAGGTTAGTTGATAGGTAAAGTGGTATGTTATTAATTTATTTGTTATCCAACAAGCATAGCGAGGTTCTCTTTATTAGTTTAAGCATACATTTTATCTTTTAAAAAGTTTAAATCCTCATACCCTCATTACGATAATGTAATCATGGATCTATTCTATTACGGAAAATATGATACCCGGTAACGGTAATAGTTAAGTAACACCGGATTTTGAACGGATAATCCGGATTGTAGATCACCGATAGTATCTCTATTAAGTAGATTAGCCAAATCTAAATTTTTTGATTAAAAATGAACCAATCATTAACTCTTAACCCTAACAGCTAACCCTAATGCCACACAAATACGTATAGGTAATGTGAACAATTTTTATTGGCAAATCTTCGAATACATACAGTATAAAATATCCGAGGTATGTAACCTCTATTCGTATAACATTAACTCTTAAAAATATAGGTATATTTATTATCGGTTTTTTTGTTAAAAAAAACCTTGATAGAAATTAAACTAATTACGATTATAACCTAACTTTTAAAAAATCGGGTAGAGTTAACCAGTGATCATTAAAATATCACATGACAATCATCCGACTAAATTAAAGTTAGTTTAGAATTATAGTTATAGTTTAGACCAATCTATTTATCCTGGTAAACAAATGATGTCATGATGGTTCCTCCTGTTATGGTGGAAATAGGCGATCCCTAAAATAAATGCTGGTAAAAATTTTTAACAACGATCAATTAAAAAAATTTTTAACAACGATCAATTAAAAGATTCATTACTGAAAAACGTAATTTTTACTATGAAAATTACAAGATGAACCTTCAATATGATCTTTTTGGTTTCTTTTTATAGTATTTTTACACCCGAATTACCTCTTGTAAGTCTGGTATAACTAATTTACTTTAGCGACGGATATGTCAGACGATTAATAACAAATACCATGTTTTTGTCTGAGTAAAAAAAAATAGGTAAATTTGCAGTTGCAAAAGAGGAAAAGGTTAAATGTATGTGAAGATACAAGTAGTCGTATAAAAAATTTATTATTTGTGTATAAAGACACGATTACTTTTTATTTATTTTTTGAATTGTTGAACTGATCTTGATTTTCTATGTATCAAGAGATTAATAATTTAGAGTGGGTATTTCATAGAGATGCCAAATATTTTAAAACACGATCTTAAAAAAATTAATTTATTTTTATTTTTATTTGTTTAATATGTTTTTAATGCACGTCTGTAATCTGTGACAGGTTAAGCTACTGATTTCTGACTATGCCTCCCATAGCTGATCTAAATCATGATGAAAAAGCTATTGTATTTAGTGATTTGAAAAGACTTATTATTACAAAGTTAAAGTTGAATATATAAAAAACGAATTGATCGTATTCGGTACAACAGTAGGAACCGTCGATGTTACACGACTGATTCTTCACTCGGTGTGCAACATATAAAAAAATCATTTTACAATACCAGGTCATTCCGCTAGTACATGTTATGATTATAATCCCACACCATTTTATTATAATAAAAATGGTGTGGGATTATAATCATAACATGTACTAGCAGAATGACCTGGTATTGTAAAATGATTTTTTTATATGTTGCACACCGAGTGAAGAATCAGTCGTGTAACATCGACGGTTCCTCCTGTTATTCGGTACTCTTTATTTTTTTGATTTCATAAATTGATTTTTTTTATCAAACATAAAAGTGTGCAAATTAAAAATTTAAGTGCAGGTTATGCAAATTTGGATATTTTAAAAAAAAACTTATAAAATGGAATTAAGAAATGGAAGAAAATGACATTTCCAGCATCACTTCATTTTTAGGTATTAGATAATTCAAAAATCAGTATAATGTAGTAAAAATAAAATATTCCGAATATTTTTCTTTGACATTAGTCAATCAAATGCATATTGACAAGGGTCAACGGATCGAAAAGAAATGGCCGCACTGGTCAGGGGTTACACACCACGTGCCACAACCCCTGCACCCACTCGATCGTAATGCAGGACCTGGGTTAAGATCAAGAAGAGATCAATCAACGTCAAACGCATGAATCACTGAGCAAAATTAATTAATAAGCAGAGATACGTAATCACAAGCCACCGATTGCAATAGATATATAAAGAACCGACAAGAAGCACTTTCGGTAGTCGCTCTGAATGATCACCCACCAATCAAAATCTAACGTGAAATTTTACGAAAACAAAATTTTCTTGCAAAATTTTACTATAAATGATTTCCTAACCCTAAATATATGTTTTTTTCCTTTTATTTATATGTTGTTGTCTTTGATTGTTTTGATTTTAGATATTAGACGGGATACTTCGGAAGTCACATGACCAGGCAATTCGTTTTAACTGGGAAAGTCTACGGACACGTACAAGTCACTTGAAAGCACACGTACCTTAAACTAAGATCGGCAATTGGTACGTGTC